TCTAATTGCTTTCCTTGTTTTTGTTTTTTATGGGCAGAGGGTGATTTTGTGTTTAATTGCTCCAAAGTGACAAATAAGGCCCGTTATGATATGATGAAAGTGTGAGATCATTAAATTACAATAGCCAGCCCTGCTCGTGTTTATTTGCTAGCTCCTTTTTTCCACTTTCACAAATTTATGCCACGAGGCTTGAAGAGGCCAAGCAGTTATTTACACAAATTCACTTCCACGGCCGTTCCAGGATTTGGGGGTAATTACGTGAGAGCAAAATGGTTTTATTTCATTTAATCCGGTCCGCGCAGCAATTTGCTCTGGTAATATTTGTATCTGTGAAGTGTACGCCGTAAAAACAGCTTGAAACCAGGCACAGAGTCGAATACAAACAAGATGGAGGGGGGCGATAATCAAAGGGAGGATCCATACAGGAGATGAAAACCATAACGGTAACGACCCAATGATGTTTTAAGGCATTTGGGTTCTGCTTGGGCGTGCAATATTTCAAAGCAATATATTGATTCCTGAAGGATATTTTTGAACCTTAAGAGGCTGCTGTGTGAGGATTATGAGCCACAACAACTAGACAGCACAAAGACTGAGCTGTATGATAAATTTACTTTGACATTCAAGAATATACACTAACAACTTTTTACAAACACGCTATAAGACTACAGGATGCAGTGCAATAAATGGGGACTTTCTGATGTTTTAGCTCTTTCATTATCTTGTTAAATGTCACGCCAAGGGTAAAACTTAACTTAATAGAATTGAGAAAAGAATACCCAAATATTTGGTTGAATACTTGTCCGTAGAAATGGAAGTATTCCTCAGATTAAAATGTACTAAGTGTATGATTTTCATTACTGATAGTAAATACTACTACTACTACTACTACTACTGCCACTCCTACTATTACTACTACTGCTGTTGCTACTACTATCAGTACTGCTGCTGCTGCTACTAATACTGCTACTACTACTACTACTACTACTACTACTACTACTACTACTACTACTTCTGTTACTACTACTACTGCTAATACTACTACTACTGCCACTCCTATTACTACTACTGCTGTTGCTACTGCTACTATTACTACTACAACAGCTATTACTACTACTACTACTACTACTACTACTACTGCTACTATTATTAATACTGCTACTAGTGCTGCTACTACTACTACTACTACTACTACTAGTACAACTGCTAGTACTACAACCACTACTGCTACTATTGCTACTGCTACTACTACTACTAATACTGCTACTACTACAACTACTACTCCTACTGCTGCTGCTACTATTGCTACTCAACTGCTCCTACTACTACTACTAGTTCTGCTACTACTAGTACTATGATAGTACTATGACTACTACAACTACTACTATTTCTACTACATTGTTACTTTTAATGCTGATATTAATAAATGTATGTCCTTATGTGTTTTTATGTTAATTATTTATAGAACATTTTACATTTTACACATCGCTTTAACCCACTATTACCTCCCTTAATTTCATTGTATCTGACCAATGCTGCATATTTGTTTATCTCATGTGATAATTACAGTTATTTAGGTAGGTCTCGATTCTGTCAGCTCAGTGGATTAATACATGTAACTGATTATAATGAGTGAAACAAGGCAAATAAGGGCATTATTTACAGTTGAGCCCTGCATGTGCTCATATTTACCGGTCAGCTGTCCATCACATTACCCATAAATCCTGTGATAATCTGCCTCCCCTCCTGCATATTAACGCACTGATCTGCCCCCCCTCCCCTCCCTACCCCAGCCCACTCTGTTGATCCATGCAAATGTGCCCCACTGCCTCCCTGCTCTAAGTGAGCAGAGCAGACAGGAGTTTTGTAGTTTCCATGTGGATGACTACAGACACCTTACATCTGCTTAATAATGAATCGGATGATGGGCCGTGAGGAAAGTGAAGGGGACACAGATACAAGCTCCAGAAAAAACTAAATCTCAGACCATTGCAACCTTTTAAGACAGAGTATGTTAAATTTCTTTGCATATCTAATACTTAATGAGCTCCTAAACCAGTAATAAAGACAGAAAAGTTATCTGTAATACTGATTTTGGGTGGTCTGAAGTTTTATTATCACTTATAATTTGTATAATAATGCATTACTTTTCCTTTTTCTATGTGTTTTTTTAAAGGTGTACCTACTTAAAGGCACATTGTGTCATTTTTCAGGTGGAGGGTCCATCACCTGCTTGTTTCTATGGATATATCATTGCTCTGCTTCAAATGCTCCACAATATAACATTAAACAGCTCTACTTTACATTTATTCAATTACATGTGGCTTTATTGCTCAAAAGTACCTAGAAAACCAAATATTCCGACTGTGAGTGGGGCTGCCTCTCCATAGATCTGACCTGTAACTTGTTCTGATTTGGTCTACATGACAATAGAAAGGGTTAATACCATACTCTGAAGCATTTTAGATAAAGCAATAACATCTTCATGGAGAAAAGCAGGTGGCAGATCCTCCAAGAGAAAAGTTACACAATGCACCATTAATAAAACATCTAAAGAAATATGGTATCCAAAAGTGACAGTTGCCTTTATTTTATTTTATTGTATTTTATTTTATTTTATTGCTATGGCTGACTTGTTAAAGCTCCCCATCTCTTCGAATAACTCTTTCTGTTACCTGGCCCAAACTCCATATTTAACCCACACATTTGGTCACCTCTGACTCCCCTGACCATTCACTTTCCCCTGCCCACTTATCCCTCCTCCTGTCTCTATTGTGATTATACCTCAGAGCTGGAGGAGTTCGAAAGACAGTGAACGGTTGCTATGAATTAAACAGAAGGTGCATGGAGGAAGGTGCTGCGTTTCGACAAGTGAATGTAGTCCACGGCTGCTCCCTGACCTCGGGTAGATACGAGAGTTAGGACCCTGGGCCTGTGGGGTCCAGTCCACACTGTAAAAAAAATCCATCTTTCTCTACTCCATGAATTATTGAGATATTGGCCTAGAGCTGCTAAAATATACAGGAGGGTGGGCAGTCGCTCCGATCGGATCTCACCAACTCTCAATCCTGGAGAATGTCTGTCTGTTACTGTCTGTCTTTCCAGCAAATTCCCCATCCACTCCCCATTTCTGTTTTCAAATTCCACTACTTAAACCTGCTGCTCTTTCACTAAGTCATTCGAACAGCCAGAATCTCAAGCCCTCTTTCAAACCATGAGCTGCTTTGATTTTCAAAGTTTGTGGGTTTTTTCTAACAGATTGTGGGAAAGTGAAGTTATAGCACACCTCAAACTTCCAAAATCAAAAATTGGCGATCAGTGTGTACATATAGCATGTGATTGAAGATACATCAGGACTTCTATCAATGAGATCAAGGCATGGTTTGATGTATCAGTATCGGTAAAATGTATCAATATATAGAGCCAGTATTTTTTTCTGCAGATATTTGTCCTGTTCTAGTGGAAACAGAAGAGCAATGAAGCTAAAGAGTTTGCTGTTACTACAAATTAACTTCATTGTGTGGGCCTTGCCATGGATTTTGAAATACTGACAGATCAAGTTATGACTAGTGTCGGATATCAGTATCGGTATTTCATCAAACCATGTCTACATGTAATATCCAAATTTTCTCAGTTACCATGATGTAAACTACAGCTCCTCACATTGTTTTCCATATAGTCTGGTCTTCACTGCTAATGAGCAATAGTATTGTCCTTAACCCTAACCACAGATGCTCAAAGAGAGACCAGAATAACATGAGAAAAATACATTTCATTATTCTCACCATAAGAGGCTTTTTTCTACTTCAAGAGCAGGTGTCTAGTGCTAACCAGCTGTCACACATTTAAACTGTTCGTGGATATATACGCAGCCCCTGTATTACATCAGATCCTTGTAATGTGCACAGCAGTCGTCCAGCCCTTGAAATGAGACACAACTCCACTCTGTCCATTCATCTTCCCTGTTGTTTTTTTCTTTCTTTTTTTAGATGAAGCAATTGTCCGAGGCATCGCTGCTTACTGTTTCTTTTGACATGGTGTGTGCGCGTGATTATATCTAAGGCTGCTGGCTGCAAACGCGCTGCCCAGTGCACAATTCTAGCCATAACAAATGAACAGAGAGGAGAAAATAAGACATATGAAAGAAAAGCTGAGCATAGGAGTGATTCTCTCTGTGGCTGCTGGAGATCTGTATTGTAAGCACTTTCAGCTGTCAGCACTTCTTTGAGCTCTCTCAAAGGCAGCAGGAGGAGGAAGAGGAGGAGGAGGGATATGTAGTAGTTTTATTTTCCTCCTTTAAGACCTCCTCTTTATTTGTACACAGGCTGTTTACTTCCCGCTTCATTTGATTCCTTGTGTTTGTTTTCAGAGACTTGCTGTGTGAATGGAGTAGAGTAGTTTGGAGCTAAAGAAGTTGTCAGCTTTTGGGGTGGGGATATTGGGAATAAATTGTCCCTCTTTTTGCTGCTTAGGCCTCTGACGCTCGCCCACCCCCCACCCCCCCACCCCCTTTCTCGCAGCCCTGACTCCCCCCCCAACCTTAACTCCTAACCCTCCCTCCTCCCCCTCTCATTAAGTATTGATGCGGGTAGCCATACTTGCCATCTCAGCCTATTAATAATGCATGGCAGGTGCTGTTGATGTGGTCTCTCACACTGAGATTGAGAGAGGCAGGAATGGCAACACAACGCCACTGCATCGGAGCTACAGCCCGATCTCTGTTACGTGGCGCTCGGGTGCAGCTGGGGAGGCGTCTGCTCGCTACACTTTATGGCTATGACAGTGGCAGTGAGATGAATATACAAGCTAGCATCTTACTCAATAACCCACAGCCTTTTTTACATAGAGAAAATGTATTTGATGGATGGTGGGCGTGCTTTGATTTGTTTTATTTGGTGTTTTTATTCCAGAAGACGCTGGTGCTCGTACTCATGCTGACAGCTGCCCTTTTACTAGCTCTGCTCATTTCTCATATCCTGTTTTTCTTTTGTGTCTCTCAGGTTCTTCCTCAAGTTCTTTCTCAAGTGTAACCAGAACTGCCTGAAGAACGCAGGGAACCCTCGAGACATGAGGCGTTTTCAGGTAACATAAATATAAGTCTTACTTCTCCACTCTCTCTGCTTTACCTGCCCTTTGTACAGTTTGCAGAGAAACACTACCTTTTGTACTATTTGTACATAATACATAAACATAATATTTTCAAGAGACATGAAATTCTGTCTGTCTCATAACACCTATGAAAATCACTATCCCACATCCCAATGCTCAAATGCATAAATTCATTCATAAAACTAGGGATTCCAAGGCTTTTATAAGTAGGGCTTACTATCATAAAGAATCATATATGTTAAAATTACATTTATTGAGTTAAAATTTCTATCCTCGGTCTAATATGCCAGCTGCCAACAAGGTTTACATTGCTGTTTGTTGTATTTTTGCATGACATTTGCCTCTATAACTTTCTGGTTACAATGATTCCCCCCTCTCCTCTCAGGTGGTTGTGTCGACTACGGTAAGCGTGGAGGGTCACGTCCTGGCCGTGTCCGACAACATGTTTGTGCACAACAATTCCAAACACGGGCGCAGGGCTCGGAGACTGGACCCCTCTGAAGGCACACCCTCGTACCTTGAACACGGTACGGAAAACCCTTATAATAAAAGAACAAACCCCGTGCACCAGCCTCTCCCTGCTCCCCAAGCCCTCTTTGTCTGATCATCCGTGCCCTCCCCTCTTTCCTGCTCCATGTCTGGCTCTCCTGTCTCCTGAGTATCCCGCTAAAACCTCCTCTTTCTCCCTTATCTGCCTCCTGCTACCTCTCAGATTCCCACTTCCCTCTCTTGTAGGGTTTCTAACTTGTGCTAAGAGATGCTGTAGTGTGTGTGTGCTAGCTCATTGTGCGTCCCTGGTGGCCTGCTCCCCTCAGGTCTGTGCCTCTAGGCCTCTGCTCTGGCTGGCATAAGCGCGATGTGTCTTATATGAGGTCTGTTCTGCTTAAAGCCAACACTAGCTTTATTTCCTTAGAGACAGGCTTTTATCCCAGAGCCTCGCATCACTCCCCATCCCTCCAGTTCTCCAACACACCCATACGCCGGAGATACACCCCCGCACGCTCACTCAGACCAAACCTTTAATACTTCATAATGACATGTGCACATGATTTAGGAGCCCGCACTGATTCCCAAGTCCCTAATCCAGTTATTTTCTCATTTCGATTTCCCAGACATTGAATAAGAGAAACATATTTTTTTACTATGAGGAGAGTCAACCTCAGGGATGATAATGACAGAAAAACTAAGCAGGGATTTACATGGCCGGTAGAAGATTACATTACGATTGAATGTTATGGTGAAGTCGCTCTAATGGCTATTCTCCAGAGGTAAAGCGGTCCAGTTGTCCCACAAAGGTCTCACAAGTGATTGAGTTCACAAAGACATATTTGAGGCATTATTGGAACTGCCATAACTGTGTCATTCTCTTACTATAGATATATTCACTCAAGTGCCCCAAAATCAAAACACTGCAGGCTTTTTATTGTATATTCCTTGGGGTTTGTCAACTTTCTCAGAGTTTCATTAAAGTGAAGTATTGGTCATAGGCACCATAATATCTGAACTCATGACCAGACAGTAATTTTGCCTTTTAGTATTGTTTATCAGTTTACATTTTTAGCTTTCTACCTCATCAAAAACATGCCTGAAAAGGTTTTAGATGTCATCCATGCGTGTTTGAGTATTTTAGTGAGCTCTCCCGGGCCCCATTCAAACCCTCCTTAGCTGTGAGATTCTGTGCAATGCTCAGCCCACAAGTCTACGTCACCCATGCTCCCACACAGCAATTCTCTATAAATATACAAAAACGTGATACAAGATTGTATACAGCAGGGGTGTCCAAACTTTTTTCATCAAGGGCCACATATCTAAACACAGACGAAACAGAGGGCCGATCGAGGGTCGTAGACTGATGCTTAATACAGGGAATAATTGAAATATGTGCAGGTTTAACACATTAGAATGATCCATCAGTCTTTATTCATGCTAAGATCCTTAAAACCAAACACTAAATATTAAATATGAGCTTTATCAAGGTAGATTTTCAAAAAACTTGCAGTAAAAAAATATTTTTTAATTGATGCAAGGTCATTTGGGCCAATTCACCTGGAAGTCTGAGAGCCAAGAAAAATTTGTCTGAGGCCCCCGGGCCATAGTTTGGACATGACTGGTATACAGCAACTTCATAATCCTGTTGCGATGTGGAGTAGTTTCATTAGCGGGATCCACAGTGATTGTGTTGCTCTGAAGGGGGAGTGTCTTAATGCTGGGAGCAAAGGGAAGGGGTCATCAGAGTGTCAGAAACTAAAATGAAACTTATTACACAGCTTAATACATTGTTCTTGGAGAATATAGCACTTTCAAAACAATAAAAGGTAGCGTAGTGATTTAAATATATTATGTTTTAGCAGTTTTAATACTGGTGCTCAATGTAACTTTTCTGGTGTAGGGTCCTTCAACTCATGGTCTTCTTTACTTAGATAAAATCAGCAAACATATCAGAGAGAGATGTGTTTGGGAATTTCCTCCTTATTCCTCTCATACTGAGGGCAGAGAGGGACCATGGGGGAAGGATGGGGTCAAATCAGAGGTGCAGCCTTGTTGACTGAACCTATAGAAGTAACTAAAACACATTAAAAAACAGTGGTTTTGTCTTATCCCACCTCGACTTGTCTCTTTACGAGTTTGTGCGCAGAATACACAAGTTTGGGGTCCCATATTATGCCTTTAATAGATGAGCAGCGTGCACGGCCGAACAGATGGCACGGAGGAACACCCCAAAGTATAATCCTATCACATGCATTCACGTTCCACCATCTGGTTAATCCACACACACATTATATCTGTGAAAAGGAGGCATCTTAGGCCATGATTACGGCCACAGATTGTTGCGCAGTGAACGCTGATCTCCGCGGGCTAAATATCACTACAGCTTGTTGGGGAAGGATCAACAGAACAGGGACTGAGGCACAGAGCAAAAGGCAAAAGCTTGTGGGGAAAAAAGTCAGCCTAGGCTAAAGTGGATTATGCCGCTTTAGTGAATTACAGCATGTCTGACAAGCTGCATATCTGTTAAGGAAAGGAGATTTAGCTGTATAAACATGTATTTTTTTCCCATTGCTGCTCTTTTCTTCAATCACATGTGGTAATCTGTCGGCTCATAAGGCCAAAAGAAAAGGTCAAACAGTGAGGTGAATAGCTGTTATTGAAAATTTGGTGTATTGTTGTTGAATCTATATCAGATCAGGCAAAGAGTATGTTTTGGAAGAAAATATTAAAATGTATTACAAATATACCTACAGCATGTTATTCCATGTGGTCATCAGGGAATTCTGAAGGCTTCACAACAATATAAGTATTATAGCACGATCTGAAAAAATAAGTAATTTGAATACAGGTTATTGGATGTCTAGATATTTCGAAGATAGTTTTCTTTAAGACTTATAAAAAAATACTACTGCCATTTTTACATTCAAATGTTTGTTTATTATTGTTTACAGCTTATTTGCTGTAGTAACAATTATGGACTTATGCTACATTCCAGTTGCGCTGGACTACTTGTGTGTTATGCAGTATTAACTCACAACGGTCCATTGGAATTCTCACTGACCGTGATATAAATCTATCTATCACAAGGGAGACAAGCAAGTTACAGCACTATGCTACATTGCTATTCCGATCTGTGGAGAGTTGTCCCTACTCACAGAAGGAATTTTTTTTTTTTTTTTTTTTTTTTTTAGAAATAGAAAGACCCTGTAAAGACTAAATACTAGATGGATATGTTTCAAGTCATACCATGGCAAAGCAATAACATTTGCATGGAGACAAGCAGGTGGCGGTTCCTCCACCAGAAAAGTTTTCGCAGTGCACCTTTAATAAGCCTGTATGTCTTCTGACAACCTCTTTGAAGTATATATAGTTTTATCTCATTGCATTAAAGGTTAGGTCATGGTTTTTTGGTCATGACTGGACAGATACACTTTAGATGTGAGTCAGTTGTCATCATAACTTGTCATCTGCACTTTAAACCTGTATTTTAGAGATGTCTTCTGGGCACCTCTATGAAGTATATGAAGTTTTATCTCATTGCGTTAAAGCTTAGGTGATTGTTTGTGGTAATGACTGGACAGATCATGTAGATGTGAGAAACAGCTGAGCAGGAGCTAAGTGCTTGTGTGTAATGACGGTTGTGAATGCAGAGGGCACACCCACAGTTGGCAGTGTGGTGCTCCCCGGTCACATGCCCTTTGATCAGACACTCAGCACACCTGACATTTACACGCCCGCACGCCTCGCCACGTGTCGTAAAACAAGCGCACCGCACTGCCCTCACTCACGGGGCAGGGGTGATGTTTAATAACGGGCTCAGTATAATCACTCTGATTAGTATTCCTCGCTCGGGCCCCGACCCTTGGGAGCCGAGCGGAGAGGTGATGTGTGTCTAATGTATGTGTGTGAAGTGATGGCAGAAAACGTCCATGTTACCAACCTTTATGGGCTGTCATAAGGATAGTAAGGGTCTAATCTATTGTGACTGTGAATCTTTGCAGCAACCCCCAGCATTAAAGCCATCAGCCCCAGTGAAGGCTGGACCACCGGGGGCGCAACGGTCATCATCATTGGGGACAACTTCTTCGACGGCCTGCAAGTCATCTTCGGAACCATGCTGGTCTGGAGTGAGGTTAGTCATGTTAATGGCCTTTTTAATAGGATTGTATGGATCAGTTGGACATAAATTTCAGGCCATATACAGACTGTAGATAGAGCCGCCTCCCATCCTGAGCCGAGATATAGCAATAGCTGGTCAATGGTTACCTATTGGCCCCTGCTAATGAGTGTTTGCAGGACAGCTTGTGTAAGATAAGTTACAATATTAAGTGAGTTATGGAGATGTTTAGAGATAGGCGATGTCCTCTATGGGTAATTTTTAAGGATTTACACCCACTGCAACGCTGAAACTCCTGCTCCTGTTGAATGTAGTATATCTTGGATAATATCTGCTGTAACTATTAAGTAAAATATATAGTTATATGAGATGGTAATAGCTACATATTTTAATCATTTTATGGTGATGATTATCTTAAAGGTTTCTTAGGCAGTTGTCTTTTAGTGGTGCATATATAATGTTGACACTAAAAATATCTTTGAGCACAGGCTTATAATAGTTATACCTGCAGATCTCAAACCTGATACAAGCACAGTAAAATGGATGTTTCTTAGTATTATTAGTTTTCTTATTGAATGTCTCAGTACGGTTCAGTAGGCTGCTATCAGTGTTTTCCAGGTGTACAGGAAGACAAGGGGCTACTTGGAATGGCTTCAGATAGAAAAAGTGGAACTGAAGTGTATTTGCAGATAACTGTATAAATGTTCTTTGTAGTATATTTTTCAATCTTAAAATGTACAATTTCCAATATATATCATTAAAACGGGTAAATCGAATAGTTAGAATTGCCAGTATACTAGTAAATGGAACCAAAGAAACAGTGGTACAAAATAGAGAGATACTCAGAAACCACTGTGCTACCTTCTCTAATAATAAGTAATAATACATAGGTGTTTAACAAAACCTTGAGCATTCAAAAAAAGTCATTAAAATGCTTAAAATATATTGGTTAAAATTGCTGTACCCACTTATTTTACTTTTTATTTTACTTTAGGCGCTATTATCTAAAGGTAGCACTAATTTACACATCATCTCTCAGCTTTAATGTGAACTTAATACAATTTAGACGTTGTTTATTGCACCTGCGAAAAGTTAAGTATGCCATCCCTCACTTGGAAACTGCACGTTGCTGGAGAGAAAAGTTTTAGAAAGAACTTGAAAGAACTTTGCACCTTTCTGACTTTGCCCTTCGATTTTTACCTCATTCAATCATCCACTGAAAATACCAACTTGAATCCTTGCAAAGCGTCGTGCTGTTATTTTCTTACACTTTATGTATTAATCAATATTGAAATGCTAATCATAGACTGCAGAATTGCTATATAGCTTAACATATGCTCAGGATCCTCAATGCCAGCTCCTATGTTATTCACTACGTCCTGCTGGCTTCCTGTCTTTTATTATGTTGAGAATGAAATGTGCGAGGTACAATACGAATCCCTTCTGGAGCATCTGCCACATGACTAAAATGTAAATTCAGTGTATGTGTGAAACTGAAGGTCAGCTCACGGCGGCGCTAAACAGCTTTCTCTTTAGTAAAGGAATAATTCTATAAAAAGCTCCTATATTGTCTCGCGGAGAGGTGAGCCGGGGCAGACAATGGTAGAATGAAAGCCCAGCTAAGTGAGCAATGAAAGGGACATTTACAGCAGCACACACACATATACACGCACGTACACACACGCACACACATGCACACACGCTCAGATAGTGTACACAAGGCAGCGTGTTGATGGCTTTTGAGCACCAGCTAGCTTTGAGTGCTATAGTGCTAGTCCTGTTATAGTTGGCTTCAAAGACCCTTCAACGTGCGTACCTGCTGCACGTACACAGAACTGCACCAAAAAATTACATGACAGACTTTTGCTTTTTTGTTTATTTTTACAAAAGGATGTAAACAAAGATCAATATGCAAAAATACATAGAAGAAAAAGAAAAAGTACTAGTCTCATACTGTATCCATGATATTGTAATTGTCAGGTTTTAATCTGGTTCAGGAATAAATTCTATGAGTTTAGATTCTACAGTATGGCATTAAACTTATCTATGCCCATGAAGGCAAGCTGGTGATACACATAGGCGAAGTTACAGGTTAGATCTGTGGAGAAGCAATTCCAACTTTTTCAAAGTACTTGTAAACCATAAACACCTGTAACCAGAAATGTAAACCAGTACACCTTTAATTCCCACAACAGGACTAAAACTGTATTGTTGGGGAACAACATAATTGGATTGTCTAGACTCTATGCCCCGTAGTGGTGCTTTAATGTTAGCAAGAGTCAGTTGACAGGTGCATAGACAGTGCCAAACACAGACACCAACATTAGACATATACTGTGTAACGGTGTAATAGTAAATATGCAAAGAAATGTGTGTTTTATTCATAAACACCAAACTGCTTTTGAAGCTCTCTTACCAGCTCCATGTCAGCCCTGATAACCATCCTAGGCCTCCCGGTGACATTGCCTTGGGCTACATGGGCCACCTGAGGGCTGTGGCGCTAACACATCATTTTCAGGCTGATTATACAAAGCAGAAGAGTCAAAAGCTGCAAAAGGCCCGGACTGTCCCCCTGAGTGCATGTTTTAGCGCTGCTGTTTCGTTGCATTAATCTTTGTGCCCTCCCTCTCTCTCTTTCTTTTTCTCTCTCTCTTTTTCTCTTTCACTCTCTCTCTTGTTCTCACTTTCTCTCTCTCTCTCTCTCTCTCACACACACATACACTCTCTTTCTCTCTCTCTCTCTCTCACACACACACACACACACACACACTCTTTCTTCTCTCTCTCTCTCTCACACACACACACACACTCTCTTTCTTTCTCTCTCTCTCTCTCTCATTCTCACTTTCTCTCTCTCACACACACACACTCCCTCTCTTTTTCTTTCTCTCTCTCTTTCTCTCATTCTAACTTTCTCTCTCTCTCTCTCTCTCTCTCACTCACACACACACACACACACACTCTTTCTCTCTCTCTTTCTTTCTCTATGTCTCTCTCTCTCACTTTCTCCTTCTCTTTCTTTCTCTTTCTCTCTCTCTGTCTTCTTCTCTTTTGCTTTCTCTTTTTCTCCCTCTCACACTTTCTCTTTCTCTTACGCTGTCTCTCTCTTTCACCTCCTATTTTGCTTGCTCTCTCTCTCTTTCTCTTTCTCTCTTCCTGTAGTTGATCACTCCCCACGCCATACGAGTGCAGACTCCGCCCAGACACATCCCGGGGGTAGTGGAGGTCACGCTGTCCTACAAATCCAAACAGTTCTGCAAAGGCACACCTGGGCGATTCATCTACACAGGTAATGGGCTTATGTACCCACATCCTATTTTAAACAATGCAGCTTTTACCTATGTCTCTCTTTCTCTCTGGTCTCAAATGTTTTTTTGTTTTTTTTATGTGGGTGTTATATGTGGTTTTGTATTAGCAAACTGTGTCAAACTTTGCTACTCTCTTGTCCAATTACATGTATTGAAGATGTCATAAAGCACATTTTGCTTTTTCATGGTCAAACAAACACAGATCCTATATTATGTCAAATTGACTCTTGTGAGCTTTAAGCCGTGTTATAATGTTGTTACTTATCTGGTGATTGTTTTGTTTTTTTCAATCACATGTGCTTCTATAATGCTTGTCTACATCTCCAAAGCTCAAAATGCCCTGTTGCACCTTGTGACATCATGAAGTGGTAGTTGTCACATTAAGGGCTTTTTTTTTCACTTTTAGTTCAGTAGAGATGGACAATTCCAGGAATTAAATCATCCAAATGATTCTAATGAAGGTGAATGGAATTTAAAACACAGTGGCACACACTGTAGTACCACAAGGACTAATACAAGTACATTTTCAGGATTTATATGTTAAAAATGTGTGAATGAAACAAAACATAACTCCAGGTATGTTTCTGATGGTTATAACACACAGAAAGTAGCGCAATATGGGCCCGTTAAAATCCTGTTTAAAGTTACACTCAATTTCCCCTCCTCTTTGTAGTATGGACTTGTGTTCTTTATTATGACAGAAAATGTTGTGATGGCAGACTAGAACCTCAAAGCGCTCTAGGGTTTGATGAGGGCCTGTATATCTTGTTGAGAGCTGATCAGTTAATAAAACCATTTCAAAACATTTTAACTGCCAAATTCTACATAGTTTGGCATTAAATTTATGAAGCATGTGCTAGTTGTAGCCTTAGGCAGAAGTTCCTTGTCCCAGTGTATTTGAGTGTATTTGTCACCTTGGATCTCCTCTGTACAAATGATGAATAATTTAAACAATGCAATAAAAACGCCCAACATTATTTTATTAAGTCTTTGCAATATCTGCTAAAAGCATCTTGGAAAACACATTATTCGCTGTCATAACTCCGCTCTGTTGCTCCGTGGTAAATGTGCATGCTAAACAATTTTGAATTCAATAACGTGACTCAATAATTCAGAGAAGAAGAAGCCTGTAGAGATCATTGGTGGAGCAGTGTTTGGCCTTTTTTATGAAGCAGGTGAAGGTCACGAGGGAGACTTAACCTTTTGATTAGTGGGATTATTGAGATTTAACCCTGTTGAACTATGAATCAGTACCAAACAGGAGAGCTCTGCCATTCTTCACGCCACAACACAAAACATGCATAGTTAGCTGTTACATCAGAGCTCGTAGATATCGTGCGGTATTGAAGAGAGTGACAGAGAGAGCGAATGTGAAGCAGTGATTAACCAATGCAAGGCCACAGGTCCCAGGGGAGACCGCGAATCACAATAAATCTGTCTGTAATCTCAGCTGCTGATAGACTTAGGGCCGTAAGCCTCGCCCACAATTGCCAACACTTGACAAAATCACAATTGAGAGAGCATGTGTGTCATATTGCCAGCGCGTATTTTCCCCGACTCGGTATATGTCCCAATTACTGTGCAAATCCAAGTCGATGCATCACAATTACAGCGCGATGCAGGTCAAATGGAAAATGATGTGTTTATTTGAATACGACAAAGATATGAAAACACATATAACATTCACTGCATTTTGTTTATGGAGTCAGTTGTGAGAGGAATACTTTGTCAATGTTATTCTAGACAACTACTACTTGTCTCGTCTTCACTCTTTATATTACTTTCATCAGTATGTTTGAATCTGTATTAATGAATATTTGAGTTTAATGGACAGCATGATGTAAGGAACTTAGACTAAGACCAACTTTATTGATCCAAAAGGGAAATTATTTGGATGCAGAAGCTCGCATCATCATAATATAATATAATAACTAAGGGCAAACATATAAATGGTGATACTGAATTCAAAATTAGTAGCAAAAATAGCAAGAGACTGGTGTCAAACAAGGCATAATTGAGACTTTTTAAATTTTGTTTAGTTACATTTTACTTGTTTTCCATGTACACGCTCTCTGAAGCAACCCTTTTCCTTCTTTATGATTCAAACTAAGTCCTGATGAAGGCCATTTAAGGTCAAAATATGTTGGCTTTGGCCATTTAAATAAAGGCCATTTAACTATATTTTTCCTCATGCAACTTTACATTTTCTGGAGTGCTTGGATTTAGTTTTTTCTCATCCCATTTCATATATATCAAGGTTTGGGACATGCACAAATGATTTTTAAGTTATACTTTATTGTCCTCATATGGAAAATTGATCCATTCTGAACTGCTATTTAGGTAACCTGTCAGTAGCAGTGAGCAGTCACAGCTCTAGATCTTGAGCTGCATTGGTTTAAACTGTAGAAATGTTTAATTGATGCACAAGGAACAGTATTCTTGGATAATTTTAAAAACACTAGTAAAACACAAATAGAACAGTAAAAAAATAGAAATTACTAAACTATTGAAACTATTGAAAAAGTGTGTCTTAAAACTGAAGTAAATAAAGTAAATACATATCATTTTGTGAATTACTATTCTCTACTATACTCTTTTAGGCTTAAAATGCAAGGTAAAGTGTCAGCAAAGTGGTGAATCAGTACGCCACAACAGTCTGCAGTCTGAGCCTTCCACTGGACCAACATTGGATACTATAGGTTGTTTTACTGCCCTAAAAGAACAGCCTTTGCATACACATGACATGTAACTACATTATACGACAGAGGGCAGATGGGTAGGCTGCCGATGCCGTGCCAGAGCTGCCCAACAGCCCGCGCTGTGCCAGAGCCATAGAGCTGTGTTCATAAACGTGTGCACGGCCTTCCAATGTGCCCGCCATGTGCGAAGCGTATGCATAAACGCCCTATCTCTCTCCCACCCGCCTCTCTTTCACCTTGTCACATTCACTTATTCAAAACTTGCGTCTTTGGGTAAATTCATTCCTCTTCTCTCTCCGCCTTTTGGCTTTTGAGAGGAAGTGGGAGAATCTCAACAGGTGAGCAGTAGAGAGGGGTCACCCACTGGGAGACACTGAATGCGCTGCTGTTGCCAAGCGCTGGCACCTCCACGGCAACACAGTCAACCGTGTCCAGGCACAGGTCCCATTTTGACTCTTCACACAGCTCGCTTCAGCCACTGCCCAGATTCTCTCATAGCTCTCCCTCTGCTCCTTTCTCATTGTGTGTTTTCTCTGAGTGTCCTAAAGGCATAAATGAACTAGCCTGAATATGCATTTTGGGTTAACAGGCAAAGATTAGTGTGGAAAGTCATTACATCAACCTATAGACCTATTTAAAACAAATTACACTGTTTAATTGGCAGTAATTAGATGCATGAACACTGCAGCTTTGTCTTAGTTTTACCATAAGGCTGGCCATTGCATTGTTTTATATTAGTTCATGCCCATTTCTACATTCTGCGTTATCATGGTGCAGTCTTTTTAACAAAACTGCACCATGCATGAGATGTCTCTGGATAGCCTAGGTTTATCTTGACTGAAACATTAATGCTAACTGTAGTGTATTACTGTATTACTGTACTGTATTAACAGCAAATGCAGTAGTAATGCAGTACTGGCAGTTAAGATAGTGCAGGATGGGGTAGGATCAAATATGTTTTTCTTCTTCCCACTCCTTTTTGGGCAAAAGTAAAGATAACCGTGTATATTTTGTGTGTGTGTGTGTGTGTGTGTGTGTTTTGTTGTTGTTGCTCTTGTTACTGTTGATACGACCTCACTGATGTCAATATGGATGTCATTATGTTCCATTGTAACAGAATCTAAAATGTTTACATGACCAAAATAAATAAATAAAAAATCAATAAATAGTACTGTAGTAGTTGTAGTTCTGATGGAATAGGTTGTGGAAGTATTATTAGTAGTTGTAATATGTGTAGTGCTCTAACAAGAAAGTTTATTTTTGTACTTTTTAGCCAGTAACCATTTGGCTTGGTTCTTTCTCTCCACTAGTTTAGAGCACTTCCACCTCTGTAGACACAACAACTGCTGCTCTTCACAAAGGCTTCTGAGTGGAAAGAACGTCGATTCAAATGTAGATCTAAAAAAGGTAGAGGAGAAAGGAAAATGCTAGAAGAGACGAGCGGTGGATTACCATGGGCTATGTTGCCCTCCTGGGTCTGTTTGGCACCAGTTTGCGCCCAGTTGCCAGTGGGTACTAATCATGGAGGATTGGCAGCACTGTGTGGCAGCTGGCAGCGATGGCGTCTACACACACAAACACTCACAAACATGCATAAACTCATACACAGCGTGCACACCGGCAGCCACACACATGCGCACACTGAATTACATTGGGGACAGCTGGCATTGCTAATCAACTTCTGCTGAGGAGAGGAAAGCGAGCAGCTACCAGACCTAATTAAGTCAACACATACCCAATACTGCTGCTACCGCTGCTCCACTGCAAACAGCACCTACCCAGAAAACTGCTCAGCGCACCCCAACGCGCTGTCGAGCAAACTTTCTTCTACGGACCTACATTACGAAGAGCCAGAATCATCATAATCTTGTCCTTCACTTAATACCTTTCTATTGTTACACAGAATGTTGAGTGCACTCGCTACAATGAGGAATGAAGCTGGACAGAAGCCAACACTTTAAGCACATTAGAGTTCTCAATCGTTTATACTTTAAAAGTCCTATATTGCACAAAATGGATTCTTGTGAGATTGAAGGCATGTTATAATGCTGTTACCTCCTCAAAAGCATACCCGGAGTTGTGTTTTGTTTCATTCACACGTTTGAGTAATCCTGGATTATTTGTCAATCTACATTTCCAAAGCTCAAAATGCTCTCTCCTCCCTTATGATGAACCTGATGTCATGAAGTGGTAGTTTTCAAGTTAACAGCTACAATTTACCTTTTATTTAGTACAGATTAGAAATTCCAGGTCTGAAATAATCCAAATGGTTCTAGTGAAGG